GTCCAGGTTGGATATTAGGAAAAACTATTTCACTAGGAGGGTAGTGAAGCACTGGAATGGGTTACCTAGGGAGGTAGTGGAGTCTCCATCCCTGGAAGTGTTTAAGTCTTGGCTTGACAAAGCCCTGGCCGGGTTGATTTAGATGAGATTGGTTCTGCCTAGAGCAGGGGGCTGGACTTGATGACCTTCTGAGGTCTCTTCCAGTTTTATGATTCTGTGATAAGGGGATGGTTTGATGAGATAACATGATCTTGGTAACTAATTGACCATTCATTATCAGTGGGAAATAGGTCAATGGAGGGTTGATAGGAGTTACTATAGAGAACTTTCTGGGTGTCTGGCTGGTGAGTCTTGCCCACATGCTCAGGGTTTAGCTGATCGCCATATTTGGGGTCGGGAAGGAATTTTCCTCCAGGGTAGATTGGCAGAGGCCCTGGAGGTTTTTCGCCTTCCTCTGTAGCATGGGGTACAGATCACAGCTGGAGGATTCTCTGCATCTTGGGGTCTTCAAAGTATTTGAAGGCTTCAATATCTGAGATATAGATGAGATGATTATTCTGGGAGGGGTGGGTGAGATTCTGTGGCCTGCACTGTGCAGGGGGTCAGACTAGATGATTATAATGGTCCCTTCTGACCTTAAAGTCTATGAGTCTATGAGATTGCCTGGACATGTGCATGGCTTCTTAGCGACGTGGGGAAGACTCAATAGTCTTTATTGGGGGTTAGGTGAATGAGTCGTTCCTGTGAGCAGCCCCCTCCCCCCAATATCATGTGACATTAACCCTTCCTGAGTATTCTGAAATGAGTTTTGCCTACACCGAGGGCTCCCTCAGTGATTTGGACCCTCCCTGTACAGCTAGAACCCACGCAGGTTTTATCCCAGCTAGTGCACCATGCCCAGGCTTCCTTAGCTGGGGCAATTCCGGGACGTTATTGAGGATGGAGTCTAGAGCTTCCATAGGAATAGACCCAAAAGGATGCTACAGAGAGAGAAATTGTGCATGTGCCACAACAAGCTCTGAACAGGCCTGGAGTCAGCAGGCTGTCATAGAATCATAGAACCATAGAACCGGAAGAGACCTCAGGAGTCATCAAGTCCAGCTCCCTGCTCTAGGCAGGACCAATCCCAACTAAATCAACCCGGCCAGGGCTTTGTCAAGCTGAGACTTAAACTCCTCTAGGGATGGAGACTCCACTACTTCCCTAGGGAACCCATCCCAGTGCTTCACCACCCTCCTAGGGAAATAGTTTTTCCTAATATCCAACCTGGACCTCTCCCACCACAACTTGAGACCATTGCTCCTTGTTCTGCCTCTGTCACTACTGAGAACAGCCTCTCTCCAGCCTCTTTGGAACCTCCCTTCAGGAAGTTGAAGGCTGCTATCAAATCCCCTCTTACTCTTCTATTCTGCAGACTAAACAGACCCAACTCCCTCAGTCTCTCCTTGTATGTCATATGCTCCAGCCCCCTAATCATTTTGGTTGCCCTCTGCTGGACCCTCCCCAATGCTGGCGCTTTTCTCTGGCAAAAACCCCGAGCCGGAAAAAAGCGGCAGCCATGTAAATGCAAATGCCGCGGGGGATATTTAAATCCCCTGCGGATTTGCAATTCCGAAGTATCTCATTAGCATCCCTTTTCCGGAAAGGGATGCCAGTGTAGACACAGCCCCAGAGAAAGGGGAGAGCCTAGAAGAGGTAAAGAAAACTTGAATTAGTAGCTTTGTGTCTGGCAAGGACCCACTTGCCAGTAGCTGGGGGTATGAAACCGGCATTTCTTTGCAGTTTGGTCAGTTTGGTCCCCACTTCACTATTGTTTATCCGGGTCTTTGCCTGGTACTTTGGTTAGTTCTGTCTGCTGTGGGAAAAGGGAACAAGAGAAGAAGGAAAAGGGAAATTGGATCCATGTGCTTGGAGCTAACCGCAACACATACTGAATTGTTTGCCCTTCCAGCCTTTGAGTATTGCTGTTCATGTCGGAAGGACGAAGGATCCAGGTTTTGAGACTCACTCCTGTGAGGTATTTTTTTTTCCATGTGGCTGTTTCCTTTGGCAAAGAAAGGTGTCAGCCCCCAGGGTGGCGCTTTTCCTACCCAAAGTGCTCCCAGAATAAGTGTGGGAAAGGTCTCTGGCCCACCTGACCCAGAGGGTCAGGCTAGGAACCCGAGCCTGTTTTGTGAGGATGGATACATATCTTAGCGGTGTTCTCAGGCACCGTAGCCAGGGGGAATGTGCAAGGACCGGCCATGGTGTGTGGATTGATTCCTCTGAACTGCCGGGGAGAGGCGGGCAGGCAGTCGGCAAGTTCTGTGGAACTAATTTTCTCTCCCTTTTCAAAGGACGCTGGGGTGGGGAGGGAGTTGCAGCCGTGCCCAGAAGAGCTTTGGACAGAAGTACTTGGCGGCGGGCGGGGGATAGATTGTCTAACGGGTTCTTCTTTAATGGGGGCAGAAGCTGGCAGGACGTTGGAGCCTCATGAAGCAAGAGCAGTGAGATGGAAGTGATTGCAACGCAGGAAGTCTGAGCAGTGGAGGAGCTGTGGCCGCAGTGTGGGTTCTGTCTGGGGGGTGGGGAGGGGTCTGTACGGCAAGAAAGCCCTCTCCCCTGGTCAGCTGACTCGGGCTGGCCTGGCCCCAGATGGGGGGGGGAGTTCAGAGCCCCAATTTCATCCCAGCACAAATATCTCCACGGTGCTTTCATAGCCCCATGGCCTGTACTGGTAGATACAGGCCCATCGCGGGGGGTAGCTTGCAGGGTATCTTGTCGCTGCGGGGGAAGGAGAGGAGCCCCTGTAATGTGACCGGGTGGGCTGAGCTGGGATGCAGGACAGGGGAGAACGGGGCCAGCTAAAAACCTGCTGGGCTGGGGACGTGCTACTGGAGAAAGTGTCGAGACTTTTCTCCGGCAAATGGACCGGCCTTCGGAGGATGCCAGAACAGCTTGTGAGCATTCACTGGTTGCTCAGGGGTTTTTTCGGGAAAAGTAGCCTTTTCCCGAAAAAACTTCCCCTGCGTCCAGACTCAAGCCGCGTTCTTTCGAAATTATTTCGAAAGAACGCGGCTTTTCTTTCGATGGCGGTAAACCTTGTTTCACGAGGAAGAACGCCTCTTTCGAAAGTTCCTCTTTCGAAGGAAGGCGTTCTTCAATGTAAAGAGGCCGTCTTCGAAAGAGAGCATCCAAAAGTAGCCTTTTCCCGAAAAAACTTCCCCTGCGTCCAGACTCAAGCCGCGTTCTTTCGAAATTATTTCGAAAGAACGCGGCTTTTCTTTCGATGGCGGTAAACCTTGTTTCACGAGGAAGAACGCCTCTTTCGAAAGTTCCTCTTTCGAAGGAAGGCGTTCTTCAATGTAAAGAGGCCGTCTTCGAAAGAGAGCATCCAGACTCGCTGGGTGCTCTCTTTCGAAAAAGTGGATTTTTCTTTCGAAAGATCCGCCTGCAGTCTAGACGCGATCTTTTGAAAGAGGCTCTTTCGAAAGAAGCCTGCAGTCTAGACATAGCCTGTGTCATGACATAGGACAAAGGAAGGGGGACAAAGCAAGACCTTTCTCATATTCCCCCCTTAGTCTCCTCTTTTCTAAGCTGAAAAGTCCATGTTTTGTTAATCTCTCTTCACATGGGACCCGTTGCAAACCCCTCAGCAGTTGTGTTGCCCTTTTCTCAACTTTTTCCAGTGCCAATATGGACCACAAACGGTGGGAAAAGTCACCGTTTCCCCAACCTGTGACACCAGCAGCCGTCCCTTGTTCCCTGCACCTCACACCCCCGGGCCATGGGGGCTCTTTGTGTCACTCCCAGCCTCCTTGTGGGCACCAGAAGCCCCTCCCTCAGCCTGGGTGAGCGGGGTGGCCACTCACTCACCCAGAGGAGGGAGAACCCCTCTCTGGGCCTGGATGGGCTCAGCTGGAGCCTGCCTCTTTAACTCTGCAGCAGCCTGGGGCAGGGCCGGGAGTATAAAAGCAGGCCCAGATGCTCAGTAGGGACCCAGCTGTTGGGAGCAAAGGCCGGCCCTGAGAAAGCTGAGGAGCTGGCTGAGGCAGGTGACTGGCCTGGAGGAAAAGACCCCTTTCTCCCTACCTCTAGACTGGGACCATACAGACCCTGGGGACCTGCCCCGACCAGGGGAACAGGTACAACCAGAGGGGGAGTCTGGAAGTGGCCCAGGGGAAGCAACCGATGATCAGGCAGATCTGATCACCCTTTAAGCTGGGTTAGCACCTGCTGGCCGTAGCGACTGCGAGGCAGCCACTGCTGGGGCCCTGGGCCGGGATGTGGTGGAGTAGGGAGGGCTCATGTCCCCTGACACCCCTGCATTTGGGTGGCAGTCGCCCCCTCCCCACTTGTGCTGCAGAAACTCTTTGCTTGCCTGCCTTGCCCTGAACTGGGGCCAGGTCACCATGTTGATTGTGGGGAATTGTTTGTTTGTTGCCTACTTGTTGGTCTTAAAGGGGCCTCTGGGCTAAGACGTACCGGCCTGAGCACTGGGCTAGGACTCAGGACTGGGCAAGGACTCTTACGGGTCCCCGTTGGCCCCGGGGCAGCCTCGCTCTTTGCTTCGGGAGCTGTTGGTTCCCACCCAGCTTGGGTCACAGGTGAAGCGAATGTTTGGTCCCAGCCTGGTCTCTGCTGGCAGAGATGTCCCTGGGGTAGGAGATGGTCTCAGTGCTACTTGAGGGGAGTGTCGGCAGCAAAGAGCCACGCGCTCCGCTGGTGCCAGGAAATAGCAGCCCCTGGAGAGCTTACAGGCCATGGAGGAAGTGGCGAGAACAGAGAGTTTGTCCCTTATTGCACAGGGGCAGCTGGAATGAGCCCGACGGCGAAGCGAGGGGAAGCGACAACGTGTTGTTCTGTTGCTTTCTTACCAGGGGGGGCCTCTTCATCTCCCGCCTGCTGATTTCTCGCCATATCCTGCTGA